AAAGAGGATCCCTACAAACCCCATAATCGGCCCGAATAACACTATGTTTTGTCCTTACAATAGTGGAGAAAACCTTCCCTGATTCATTTTTATACCTAAATTTCACATTTCATAACTCCTGCTAGAAGCAACTTGGGCACGAACTAACTTAGGGTATATCACTCCTAGCTATGCCCTATCTAACCATCATATCCCCGACTGAAAAGCTTTTTGACACCTCGGGTGGTTCCCTCGTCAGTATTTTTACATAAGCACATAGTATTTTTTTAAAAATGAAATATAATTCAATTGAGCATATAGAACAGTATGAACATTGCACTATGGAAGTAGAGATTTGACTCTCCTCCTCCATAGACGTGACAGACATTGTTAGTATATGATCACATACTGGATATCAATAACATCTTGTTATAATATATTAACTATTTCCTTATTGTATTTCTGGAGAATTAAGTAGAAGAATGGTAAGAAACGTGTCTTAAAATAGATAGAATAAAACAATGTTTCTGTGATTAGCAACAGCAGCTACATTGTGTTTTACATTTTAATCTCGTAATATCACTTTTTTGAGTCATATCTCTTGAAAACTATAATCTTTAGTTCTGGTTGGAACAATTTTTTTTCTCGTAGTCCTAACGACTAATACTAAAGTTGGTTTCACACATTACTAATCTTCTTTCATTTAACAATTATCTATTGATTTGCGTCTCGTAGCAAAATGCAATTGTTCCATGTAAGTTGTTGGATAATGAATTTAATCGATATTATTTTTCACAATACAATAAATATTAGAAAAACTGAACTCGTATTCAATTTCTGTCCGATACAAATTCCATAGTTCAAGAATACCTCTTATCTAAAAATTATTTTTAAAATAATAAAATGAATGATAATTATTTGACATGCTTACGAACTAATCAACATACAATTAAGAATATTTAATTGACTTTTATGCACAAGATAAAGCTTTGTTAAGGTAAATCATTAAAATGAGTACTTTACGAAATAGAGAACGTGATATATTCGGCAAAAAATATCTGAGAAAAGATTGTCTTAGAAAGAGTATCTTAAAGAACTAACGTTACACATTTATATATATATATATTAACATGTTACTTAATTATATTTGTTCTTTTTTAAGACTAAAAATACTTTTGATTGTCTGAAAATGCAGATAAAATAGCATAGAATTTTAAAATAATTCATTTTTGACACAATTTATAATTTATTCTAATAAGATATATAGCGATCAAAAACAAAAAAGAAAGTCTGTTTTTCATATATATATATTTCAAAAAGCAAAGTTATTTGATAACACTCGTCGAATTTCTTGGTTGCTGTTGTTGTTGTGAAATTTTATTATTATTAGATGATGATGATAATGATAATGCTGTGGGAATAATTCTTGCAGCTTTTCTTAATAAATGCCAACAAGCAGCTCGTTGTTCACCATTAATAACTTCACACCAATGTATTATTTCACTATGTTGAGCTATATTAGCACTACTAATTGGTGTTACATTTTCAAAACGTAAAAAACCTAATGGCTCATCAGGCGCAATAAGATCATGATGATAAACACCTATTTCAAGAGATGATTCAGCTAATGAAACACCGGGTATATTAAATGATATTTCTTCATTCCATTTTGGATTTAATGTATTACGTTTAACACATGTTTTTTTACGTTTTATTTTATCTGTTTGACCTAATTGCAATGTTAAACGAACAACTGGATCTTAAAATAAAAACAAAAAACAAGTCTTTTTTTTTTATATATATAACAAAAAGAAAAAAATTAAATAAACCAGCTTCAAGATGCATTGAAAGTGCTTTAAGATTTCGTGCTTCAATAATACCAACATTAAGTCGTTCAGCTTGTGGTAAATATGTTAATGAAATAAGTAATTCACCAAGATATTCATCTTCCTAGAATAAAATATAATTTTTCAACATTTGCATTTCTTTTTATCTAACTTACTGCTCGTTGTTTATTAATTGTACACCAAAGATCACCACCAGTATGTAATATTTGTGTTGTTAAACGTAATTGTGTTTCACCAATACATTCTGGTCGACTTGAATGTGCATAATTATACATATAAAAATATAATGTTTTTGTTGTTTTAAATATTGTTTCATTTGTAAAACTAAATTTAAAACATTCATTCCATATTGGATTTAATGTCTGTGGTTGTACTGATGTTTGTCGTAATTTTTGATCTATTGGTGGACGAAGATAAATTTTAACATATGGATTAGATAATTCTTCACGTTCAATTGGTAAACGTTGAGCTAGAAAAAAAAAACAAAAAAAAACATCAATTAATAAATTTTTGTTTTTCATACATATGTACCTTCAATTATATTAACAACAAAATCATTTCGATGTTCATCATAGATTATACGAATATGTAATCGATATAGATTTTCTTCTACAAATGCTAGTTCATCATTTATTCGTTCACTGGTACCGTTATTACTACTGAGATTTATTCCACTGCTACCATTACCGTCACCATTAGTACCACATGTGGTGCCAGTGAAATAGAGATCAGGCATAATAGCACCCAGTGCACCACGTAGTGTTTTTTTCTTCGTAAGATGAGAAGAAAATTGTGGTGAGATCGGTGGTAAAAGAAGTCCTTGTCCTAATGGTTGCATAGAAGCTCGTGCTGTATTGATTGATTGTTTTCCGACAACCGGAAATTTCGGAATTGCATAACGTGATGAGGGTGATCGAAGTAATGATTGACGACGTCCTGTATTTAGATTTTGATTTGAATCTATTTTCGCAGAAAGTCGTTTTGATGATCCTAAATATTGTTCTTCAATAATTCCTGATGATTGATCAACAGATGTAATTGATTGTTCAACAGCATCTGATGTACGTGGAAATAATTGAAATCGTATATTTTTAGAATTACTCGTACTAGGTGATAATGATATTTGATTGTCACCATCAACTGTTGATAGACGTGTTGTTTTTGAACAAGATCTATTTGCATAATGTGCTGTTATACCTTGTGTATCTGTATCTTCATATGAATGAGATAAACGACCAGTTTCACCTTTTTTATGTAAAAGTACACTATCAGATGCAACAGATGGTCGACCTGATTGATTTGAACTAATCGATAAACGAGATAATTTTTCAGATAAAATTGAAAAACGACCACCGGAAGCAAGGGAAGTACGAGCAGATTGAGATGATATTTCTTGTGTAATAACAGGTGGTTGTGGAATACGATGAACTATTGGTGCATAACTCTAAGAAGTGAAGTTAGACTAATTGAAAAAAGATTCATCGAACTAATGAGTCGTATCAAGTGTCATTTTTATAAGGCTAAGAATGCTACCTTACAAGGAAAGGAAATTAGAACTTTTTTTCTTTTTATTCAAGTCAAATTGCATTCGCGTGTTCACTTGCCTGTGATGATCCAATCAGTACCGGAAACTTACTACATCATGACTCGATAAACAGATAGATAATCTGAGAGAGAGAGAGAGAAAACGAAGATACTCACGAGATGTTGAGGTGGCTTGAAATAAGTTTTAGCATCAATATTATTAATAGCTGCATAATGGCTTACAGATCGACCGAAATAGTGATGACTTGATGATGGTACACAACATTGACAAAAAATAATTGTTGCAACAAGAATTATAACAATAACAGTTATAGCTCCAATACCAATACCAACATATAAATCATAACGTGATGTGAGCATGATAGCATTGCGTTTATTATTTATTGTCTTGAAAGATAAAAACAAAGATAAGCACGAGTGAAGATTAAATTTTTATTCTTTATTCATTCAATATTAGTTGATAATTCGTATAATTGTATGCCTATAGACAGAATTATGTCTGTGTGCGTATGTCCGTTAATGATCTCTTTTTTTTTACTATACCTCTCTCTCCGGTAATGATGTGTGGGTGTGCTGTTAGTTATTGTGGTTCTAAGTAAAAAAGAAAAAAGCAAAAGAAAGATGGAAAATGCAAAAGAGACTGAGAAACTATCATCATCATCATCCGTCATGTAGATGGAAACGAATGACGATTTCAATATTCATATTTTCCCTTGACGCGTACACAGAAAAGACACATTCCCTTAAGCAAGAAACAAATAAATCATCTACTGCATCATGCTAGTTAGTGCTCTTATATCATAGAAACCTAACATTTACCTGTCATGCTTTATATGCACGAGAATATATCGGATACATGACAGTGAATTAGCGTGTATTTATAAAAGATTTATAGATGAAAAACGTACGGTAAAATAAACGAGATATATAGATACCTTTTCTTTTATTTAAATAGTATTAAAACAACATTGTAAAAGAAGAGTATGCTTCTATTATAGTTACTTTTCTTTCTCCCGTCATTATCACCCTGAGAGTATTTAGAATGAGCATCTTAGTGATAGAAAAATGTGACAAAAAAAGAACTTTCATTTTCTTTAGTTTTTTCTTGCTTGTCTTTATATATAAAAGAGAAACACATGTAATTATGATTCCCTTTATCAATATATAAAGAGACATGGCAGAGAAAAGATCAGCAATCTACAAAGGCATTCAATAAAACTTACTTGTTAGTATTCAGCAAGAATCACAATCATCATTATTGTTTTCATTGCCACTCAATCCTCTACATTCGATCAATGATAGACGAAAGGAAAAAGAATTTTTTTAATAAATATTATTAGAAAACTATAACGAATCATAGACAGAGAGAGAGGAGAGGAGGGGGGGTGGAAGGAGGGAAAAGAAATGAGATTTGCAATTCTTTTCTTTATTCTAAGACCATATCCACATCTTTCTGCCTAAAAACAGAGAGAAAAACACAGTAGTATAAGAACGTATTTGTAATAATGAGAATTCATTTAATTGATTGTGCTATGTCAAAATAAGCTGAGCTTTCATGCACACACACTTTAAATATTAAACAGAAGCGCAAAAAAAAAAAAATAACTAGCAAAACTACTACTGAACTTATTATTTGCCATCGGAAACAAGATAAACATGGCATATACATTAAACATAGATAATTACACTATATCAGCGTATAGCTACGATTCTATAAGAAATCTAAATATTGAATGAGTCAAATAAAATCATGGACATATTGATATTTAATTTATTGAATTAACAACAGGTTGTTTATTTCGAAGAGTTCATCATAAATATTTTTATTTCAACATATATTTTCAATAAAAATTTGACTTGTTTTGACCAAAAAAAAGAAAATAAATATTTTTAGCAGAACATAAATTTATATTCAAGAATAAAAACAAAAAAAGTCTCTTCTAATATTTCATTGTTATATCTTCATATTTCATATTGTAATTTTATATTCATCATACTGATGTTCATTCATTACACAATGTCATTGCAGCCAATATGTACTTTACATATTTATAATTCCTCATTCTACACACTTGTTCATCGTACCTTTCTTTTTTTTTTATGTATCCACTTGAACATAACGATATATATATATGCGTCTCTCCTATATAGACTATGTATAAAAGGTAAATCGCTGTGACAACACAGTTATCTTAACTTCATCGGTCTGTCATAATGTACTTGACTCATTTCATTTTTTTTCCAGTGACCTGTCGTCTAAATAACTTGATGGGACTGACAGAAACGATTGAACAACTGAACACAGAATAATTATGCATATGTCTACATGTGTCCAATGGAATAACAAAAAAAAAGAAAGAACTGACATAAACTTTCTCACTCTGTCGCGCTTTTTTTTCTTCTTCTTCTTTGTACATGTGGTTACCTAGCATTCGATGGTGTATATATATAAGATATCATCACACGTTCATATTCAAATATATTTCATTCTTTATAAACTTAACGACTACTGAATAAATATCTTCAAAAAAACGAAAAGTTCATAAATCATATTTTGCAGGTATTAGATAAACTGAAATGAGCAATTCAGCTTTACGAGATATTATTCCATCCAATGATGATGTTTCTATAAAGGTAAAATTTGAATACTATTTATGAATAAACAATATTTTAGTCAGTATGGGAACTGCGGAAGTAGTGCTCTTCTGAAGATCAAGTTGACTTTAGAGAAGCTTGTGGTCGTTCTATCATATACTATATGTCTACATTTCCAAATATAGATGTTTGCTCTCTCTCTCTCTCTGTGTTCCTTGGGAACAAAAAAAAACTTAGATAAAACACTGTTAATAAATATATGATTCACATAATTTTATATAGAAAACACGACAAAAACAATTCTCAAGTGTATTCAAAGTTCTTATATTCGTACTTTTTTTGGGATTTATTTCCACTGGTATTGTTGCATTATTATTGATTCTTGGATGTAAGTTTCAACAATTAATTTTATTTGTTTAAAGAACAATTACTGAACTATATTTATAAAATATTTATTTAGATTCTGGTAAATCGATTTTCTATCTTATTATGCAATCTTCTCCAGCAAACTCATTAACATTATCAAATCAAACTCGAACTTTAATATTTCATCAACAAAGTCTGTCTATTTGTGTTTCTTTTCTTTTTTTTATTCTTCATTGTTCATTCTGTTTTATATTATAATAGGTTCAACTGAAATATCGGGTGAACAAGATTTGAAAAAAATAACTCTTATACCAATTAATCATAATCAAGAAATTCATACATCATCAATACTGAAAACAAAACAAGAAAATCAACATATATCAGCAAATACACAATCGATGAAATTTTATCCATCATCGAATACAATAGTTGACGAACAATTGACTTCTCCAATTATGCAAACAACAATGTTCAATCGTCAATCAATCATTCTATCATCTGTAACAGTAAAACATGAAGAATATGTTGAAACATCACAAGAAAATAAAATAACAACCGTTGATACTCTTACATCGACATTTCTAATGCCTAAAAGTACATTGTTTTGTTTTGTTTTTCTGATACTTTGATGTGATTTCGTTTTGTTTTAGTACGAGATCATGAAATGGTGACTCCGGAAGCGATTCCATTAACTACTGGTATTGATTTACAATCATCGACAAATCAAAATAAGCAAAAAATAATATTAAAAAAACATAAAGAAGTTGATCACGATGATATGATTGATGATTTTTTACTTATATAATCAACAATAATTGTTAATTTTAAAATAAAAATATCATAGTAGAGTTAAATATTGATTTTATCAAATAAAAGAAAAAATGTTTTGAATTTTAATATTTTTAATCAAAATTAAAATATAACTAAAGAAAATTAATAATTTTATTTAGTATTAATATTGAAAGCATACAAAAAAAAACAACATTAAATGTTTGTTTTATTATTAAACTTGAGTTCTTCTTAGAATTTTTAATAAATATAATCATTGCAGAAAGACTATTATACTTTTTTTTTTTCTTTTATTAAAATTTTATTTTTAATTTCCATTTTATCTTCTATTATTAGAATGATATTTACGAAAAAAATATGTAAGATAAAATATGAGAAATGTCAAGAATCTTATTTTCAAGGAGAAATCGTGAGATGAAGCAAAAGAAAAGACGTGCTGACATGAAAGAATATATATTCTATAGATTGATGAAAAGACATGAAATTGTGTATTCAGATTAGCATCTTATTTGATTTTTGTCTCTATTAGAAATTCGATACATTACTTAATCAAAATTAAAAAGAAAAGTTATCTATAGTTTGATAATACCATAGTGCAAGGTAGTGCAAAACTCATCTGATTGTGTTTGATTGGAATAAGATAGAGAGTTTCACCTTTCACCATTTGAAAGAAAATTTATTACTGCATGATTCCATGTATATTTGAACAATGTTAGTCGATGATCGATTTGTGCGTTCGTGTGTTTTAGAAAAATACTGATAGTTCAATGACGATGATATAGAAGATTAATTCTAAGACATGCGCTAGATCTATACTCAAATCGAAAATTTTTTTCATCATTCGCTTAAGGCTACTTGTCTCCCTCTTTTTAGATCAAATAACTCGGTTTCAAGTTATACAAATGGTATGACAGTCTCAAGTGCAATTGGAGAGATCATTCGACTCTAAACGGCTTACTGTTAAAGAGTTAATGAATTTAAGAAATTTTTTTCTCATAGTAATCATATTGAAACTCTCTTCTTCTACTTAATCAAATACAAAACATCAGTTCTCGCCAATCCTGACTACTAACGACCTTCCTCTAACTTTGTCCGATCTGATTGAAATTCTTAACACAGGTGCTTGGAATTGTTCTCCAGAGGTAAAATCAGTTGTTTTCGTTTTTAATTTTTCTATTCCGATTTAAAGGATTCTGAAAGTTAATAGTACGATTTTGACTCGAAACCTGAGTGCGTCAAGTAAAAAATTCTTGGACTCGGATTCAGAACCAATCCGACGTGCTCTACTCCGAACTTTTGTGTATTTCTCTCATAAAAACGACAGATTTTCGGAAGCACTCAAAAATACTTCTGAAATATAGTCTGAGGCATCTCAAAAAGAAAATTCTCGGTCAGATCAGGTAAAGCTTGATGGGAGGGTCATAACGAATCCTCTTGACAATGTTTTCCTCAAACACGTGTCTCTTTATTCTAGATGCTTTATCAGTGGTACCTTTAAAAGTTGCAGATGCAACACTCGATAGTGTGGATCGTGAGCATGCGTATCTGACGCACTTCCTACAATTAAACTTGTGTAATCTTCATAGAGCTATTCTTTTTTTCTGAAACTCACTAACTGACAATACGGTCATTAATTGACATTGTCCAATCACACATGAAATCATGTAGTGACGCAGCTTCTTTCGACCGTTATTCGTAATTAAATCTTGTCAGGTGACCTTTGCGCAATATTCTGTACTTTTTGTATTGAATGATATTTATTGCATCATTGTATATATTGAAATTTTCATTTTTCATTCTATATTTTTAGAAATATTGTTGTTTACAAATATGATATGTAATATTTAAAAAAAGCAACAACATAGATTTATAAGTTTTTGTATAGCTTTGTGAATGATTGTTTTTCTTTGAAATTTTCGTTTACATGGCATATTCGTATATGAATGAGATATAAAAAATGATATTAAGACAAAACCATTCTATAGAATGTTAAACACAAGATAATCTTAGTGAATACATTCTTGAATTTTTATGGTAGATATTTCATAAATATGGTTTCACTCGTTGTTTTATCTTCTAAGCATTCATTCGTATCGTTATGGTTTCTCTATCGATAAGATTCGCTGATTAACAAGTGTAAAAACAAAAAGGAGAACATAGCATTGTTCTAGGTGGTCTCCATACGTGTAATACAAGCTTTTATCATGTGATTAATGGTAATATACTCGACAGATTTATGTTGTACGTTTAGTTTTATAAAAAGGAATGATATAAAATGTATCGATAACGATAAGTAAGAATTAGTATTAATATAAGAAGTGTAAATTCCAGTAAGCAAAAATATTCGTTTTTTTTTCTTTTATTTGTTTATTTTTTGATTAGTAAATATTAATTAGAAAAGAATAAAATCTGATTATAGATAATCAACTTTGTTTTTATATAGAATTTATTAATGCATGTGATTTTCGCTTGTTTTTTTTTATCTCGATGAGTATCCTAATAAGAAACGAAACAATATCCATTTGTACTTATTACAGTAATACGTGGTCTTATGATAAAAAAGAGAATATCAACGAAAAGAATGATATGAAATGTTTTATACATTTGTTGTGTTTTTTTTTTTCGCATTCTTACTGACCAACTAATCGTGCTTATCTTGTCTTATAAAACAGAATTCAGGCATTTATTACACAAGAGAATCAATGATAAACAAAGGTCTAAATTTTCTAATCTCATCATTCATTGTCGATTGAATGAATAGGATTACGCATTACTGGATCATATATTTGATTTATTTAGTTTTTTTAGGTGTGTGATAATAGTATTTATTAACGGCTTTTTTTGTGAAAGAAAAATTATGCCAACGAAGGATAAATTAAAAATGAAACAATTTGAAGAAAACCAGCATATTGATGATGAAGAATATGAATATGTTACAATACCACCTGATGGAGGTTATGGTTGGATTATTGCTTTGGCAGCAATGGTATTATTATTTTTATTATTAATATTAAGTTTAACTCGTTTGTCAATTTAGCTTTGTAATCTTGTTTGTGATGGTACATTGTTTGCTTTCGGTACAATGAAATTTCATCTGCAAAAACATTTCGAATGTTCTGATATGCTTATTCTTATGGTTGGATCTGTTCCGTGTGGTGTTTATTTATTAGTTGGTATGTTTAATTTATAACAAAATAGATATATGTATCTGTTTATGCTTCTCTTTTTTTCTTTTTAAGGTCCAATAGTATCAGGTCTAGCTAATAGATATGGCTGTCGACCAATTATTATTATTGGAAGTATTGGTGCAGCAACTTGTATGGGATTATCAACTCTATCACCAAATGTTTGGGCAATGATGATTATTTATGGTGTATTTGGTGGTATATTTTTTGGCATGGTTTATCTTCCGTTCGTAGACTGAATTATTTCTATAGAAAATAAATACAAATTTATTTATTTATTTTTGATAAATCTAGATCAGTTGTAATGGTTTCATTTTATTTTGATGAAAAACGAGCTATTGCTAATGGTATAATATCTACTATTCAATACTGTACTGTTAATTATGTATTATTTATTTTAGGTTTAGTAACAGCTGGTACTGGTATCGGCGCTTTAACATTTGGTCCATTAGCTCATTATTTAATGGGAAAATTAGGTTGGAGAACAGGTATGCTTATATTTGCTGGCATAATGTTAACATGTATTCTATTCGGAGCAATAATGAAACCATTGAAACCACGAAGAATACCTATCCAACGAGGTGAACTACAATTCCAGTAAGTATCAAACTATTTTATTTACTTGGTATTCTCTAATGTTTATAATATAGACGTTTAGTACAGATTAAATCCGATCGTTTAACACCATCATCTGCTTATACAGCAACATCAAGTGATATAAATTCGGTAAATAGAAATATTTCTTTCTTTTATAGAATATTAATAATAATCAATTTTTAATTTTCATAGCCATTAACTTCAGCACATGATAATGCAACACATACGAAGCATTCAACTACTATACCTAATGTTGATGATTCTGATGTTTTATATGTTCCTGTACCATCTTTAAATTCTCGTAATCGTACATTATCAGCATCAAGTCGAACATCATCGAATGCAAGTGCTAGCCATCGTTTTGGTGTTCTTAATCCAGAGAATGCAGTTCGACCGTTATATAAAAAAGATGCACTATTTACTGGATCAAAACAACAACTTCATACATCACATAGATCATTACATAGTAATCCATATATGTCATCGATAGCAAATATTCCTGCAGTAACAAATGAAATAAAGAAAAAACCATCAGCATTTCAAGCATTTGCTGATATTCTTTCAGCAATGACTGATTTTTCAATATTAAAAAATAAGAAAATGTTATTAATTTGTATTGGAAATATATTTTCTATGCTTGGATATTATTTACCAATAATGTGTCTTGTTTCATTTGCAACTGAAGATCTTAAAGTTAATCAAACGCATGCTTCATTTTTATTAACAATATTTGGTAAATTTGAAAGAAATAAAATTTAAAATATATATATATGTATCGAAATCAAATTATAAAATATTGTTTTATTCAGGTTTTTTCAATACATTAGGTCGATTTTCTGGAGGACCCATTTCAATGATTCCACATTTCAGTGCTTTACGTGTTCATAATGCACTTTTATATACAGCCGGTGTTTTAACTGTTTTAGCTGCTTATGCATATAACCTTACAACATGTGCTATATATGCTGGTTTATGTGGTTTTGCCATTGGTATAAAAATATAAATAAATATAAATAATTTTCAAAAGTTTTCTTTTAGCACCTCATATGTCACTTTTACCAAGTATAATATGTGATTGTGTTGGTCTTGATCGATATACAACAGCTTTTGGTATTCTATTTCTCTTTCGTGGTTTTACATCAATGATTGGACCACCTGCTGCAGGTTAATATTGAGAACAAAGGAAAAATAAAATTCTTTACAATTTATTATTTATTTCATAAATAGGTTTTCTTAAAGATCACACTAAAAATTATAAATCAGCATTTGTTGTTGGTGGAACAATGATCATAATTGCGGCTTTCTTTCATGTTGCTTTATCATGTGTTGAATCCGAACGTTTAGAAGAAAACGAAGAAGGCGAAGGCGAAGGCGAAGAAATTGTTTAATGTTTCCTTTATCTGTTATTAATTAAATGTTTTCACTTTTGTGTTTTGTTTTAATGAATAATTCTAAAAGAAAATATTGTGCAATTTATTTTGAAGTAGTAATAATAGTTCTTTGCATGTTAGTTTGGTTTACTGTTTTGCTTTTGTTCTGTGATATTTGATTATTGCTAAATTCCATACATATACAAAATGCTTATTATACTCAGGTTATAAGGAAATAAAAAAGAAAGAATCCATTCATAGAATAAATATTATATTTGTTTATCATCAAATGAAGATTTAAATTGCATTGAATTTGAATTCGTAAATAATGCACTTGATACTTCATTAACATCAGCAACTGCTAATTGATTTGAATTTTTTTGTTCAGGTTTTTTATTACGTATATTTGTAACACGTAATTGTGTTTCAATAGCTGAGTCATCTAATGATGCTCTTGGGTGAGTTTTAATTAATAATTTTCTAACTAAATATGATCGACGATTAAAACAATGAGTAAATAATTTTAAAAATTCACGACGAAAATCTTGTCCATTTAATGTATATAAAATAAAATTCATTGAATGTTTTGTATACCATAATGCTTCACATATATCAACAAGTGATTGCATATGTGATGGTTGACGAGCACTTGGTTCTGAATTTAAGGTATTTTTTCCATCATTTAATACATGTCCAGAATAAATTATTTTATTAACACATATAAATATAACTGACGGACATGTTAAACCAATAAATGCTAAAGTAACTGATAAAAGCATTATTGTTAAACGTTGATGTCGACGATGTGAACGTTTACGATGTTGACGCATTTTACGATTGTTACGCATTGTAAATGTAATGATACCAATATTGGTACAACAAAGAAGTATAAATGGAATAGCAGCAACAAGTAATACATCAAATATTGGTATATATGTGCGAAAAAAACGCTCATATTGAAGAGTTGGTATACAAATAAATAAGGATGCAGATTTATAACGAGAAAAATCTGTCAAAGGATGAACTGAATGATTTGAATTAAGTGATGTTTCATTTACGTTCAATAATAATCGAAATATAAGACGTCGATGATTATGCATTACAGCTCTCCCTATTGTAATTGTTCGACCTTAAAAAGAAAGAAAAACATTTTTGTTTCTTTATTTAAATATTCGAAGATTTTTAATGTATATGAAATAAAATGAGTCGTTTTTTATTCATTTGTTTTTTATTTGTAAACAATCAATCAAGATTTTCTGAACTATAAATCTGATGAAATCTATTGACAACAAAAAGATTACTAATATAGTTTATAAAATTTATTGTTACTTCTATTTACTACAATTTTCTTCATCATTTATTTCTTATAGTCATAATTTGAGTTCATTCAATCAAAGAATTTCAGCAATAAGGATGTTCAGTCATTGATCATATTCTATTAATCAACACTCAAATATATTTCTTGGTTTTTCTGAAGGTTATATTTTACGTACAAATTCAGAATAAATAACTTTTCAATCACTTATTTCCTGTAAGATTTGACATGAAGTATTAAATTTACTAAGTGAAAAATATGAACATTAAGTTATGTTATGTCTTTTAGATGTTTCTTCTTTATTATTACTAGTAGTTTAATTGCTTATTTGTCATGTCTTGTAATAATCAATGAGATTTGTGTACTAGTTCTGTCAAACTTCCACTTCGATGTACTCATCTCAAATGGCATATGGTAACACATTTTCTTTCCACATGAAAAAATGCTTTCGGCAATCCTTTCCCAAATACATCGGATGTTTTTTAAGTACAAAAAAATAGCTTCTTGAAAGTTTATGATTGTATTAACATGCACATAAAATCATACAGAAAATCGTAACACATGACTGTATTCCTTAGAGTATTCACTTGTCCTAAATTACTGCGTGCTCTGAATTTTTTCAAATAGGAAAAACAACCAGGCATCAATCATTTTCTCATCAAACGAGTAAGACACTATTAACTATCATGATGGATATGAATTTTATGATCAATACTTTTGATAAAAACACTTTGTCTTTTTTTTGTAATAAAAAGCTGAAGTTATTTTCTTACCAAGTATAAAAAAGTAATAAATATTGCATAATACAACAATAGCAATAAGTATACTTGTTGAACATAAAACCCGATTAAATGCTGAACTATGTCGTCGATAACGACTAGTTACTATAAAATATCGATCAAAACTCACAATAACCAATATCCATGAACCCATATGTGCAAGTGCTGATGAAAAAAATGTTAATATACGACATACCCATTTCGATGTATTAAATATCGGTGAATCACGAAATAATTTATAAACATGTTTACTTGAACGCATTACAATAAATAAAATATCAATAACAGCTAATATAGCTAAATATTGACATGTTGAATTTTTATAAAATTTTTTACTTAATAAAACACGTAGACATAATGCATTACCAATAGTACCCCATATAAGTAAAGATGGATAAAATATTCGAACAAGAAAAAAACGTAAATCTAAGATAAATGATGCTGGTCGATATTGATTTGTAGCATCATGATTAAGTGCGAAATTGTCTATTATTGTGTTATTCATTATATTTTTTTAAATCATAATTCTAAAGAAAATGAAAATAATATCAAATATTAACAAAATGTATTTTTTTTTTCTTCTTTTATTCCATATGGAAATCACGCAGAGTTCATGTTATTTAGAGATTGTGCGAATCTAATATATTCTTTTTCTAATTAACATGTTTGCCAGTTCATTGATAAGGACATATATGAGACAAAGATTCGAGTATCTCAACTATATAGTTTTATCTTTCAATAAAATCAAATGTGAACAAACAAAAGGTGTAGTATAATGAAAACAAAAGAGTTATAATAAAAAGAATTAAGGAAAAAAAAATAATTATATAAAAGAGAAGTAATGAAAAAAGGATTGAAAGCAAATGAACACTTTTTATAAAATTATTTTAGAATGAATGTCATGTTGATGCAGAAAAAAAAATTGTCAACTTTTGCAAAAAAAAACAACACTTGTTTAAACCTTAGTTATGTTTTTCTTTCTCTACATTTAAAAATCATGCTTGACTGAAAGAGGACCATTACTCATTAGATGAATGTAATAAAGGTAACGAGTCTGAAAATATATTCACTAATTTATGACTATTTATTTTTACCTTTTCTGAATTACATTTGAATAAATGCGTCAAGATTCACAAGCTTAAAACACTGCTTTCATTGGCTATGTGAATATATTTGATTAGGCTTTGCTTAACACGTTTTATAGACGCTTGTATCTAGAATAAGTCTTGATTGGTTTAGGTGAATCCGATTTTCTACTTCTACTGAATCTTGAATGTTGTACGCTTATATTAATAAAAAATAAGAACTTGGTTATTAAGCGCATTAATATCCCAGTAGAATTAATTGAAAGAAAAAAAGGAGCTTTGTAAAAAATGGTTTCATGAATATTCTTTATCATCTATTCCACGCAATTTTTTTTCCATGTCAGGTAATAATAAATTTAAAGAGTAAAAGTCGAAATTAATAATTTTCCAAATGTTTATATTGTATAACTATATAACTAAAATGTTTATTTCATGATCAAGTTTAGCTTGCAAAGTCAAATAAAGACATAGAAAATAATTATTATACAAATACAAAAATTAATCAATCTAATTGAAATAAATATATTTATCTGAAAATGTTTTGCATGACGTTTTCAATTTGTATTACAGTTAATTCTTCTAGAAAACAATGCATTTAACTTTGTCTTATTACCATAAAATGTTAAACTAGAAAGAGAAAAAAAGTTTCAAATAATACTTACTCATGCAAGTATACGATTAGTTTTGATTGTTGATTCTTGTCTTTGTTCGTTCTAGTGAATAAGTCTTGTCTCGTTTTTTTTTTTCTACTAGGTTTCGTCTCTTACTAGGCTAACCAAGCTTCAACACTGATTAAAAGAAGGCAAAAGAGAAATGATGAAAATAGAAGAAGGAAAACCAGAAAAGATGAAGAGAAAAATAAGAGAGTGAGGGAGACACAGAGAGAGAGAGAGACATAGAGAGTAGAAAAAGATACCAGACGAACGACGAAAGTTTGAAGTGACAAGTATATAAAAGGCGATAACTTTACTTAGTTATCAAAACTTAATACTGATAAATATATTTTATTAATGTACATTAATTTGTCAGAGAAATTACATATTTATACTTTTACAATTCTTTTGTAGCTCATTGAAATTTTCTTTTTGTTTTTGAAAATGCTTCTATAATCATAACTATTTTATCAGTATTATGCGTATTTATTTAATCAAATAAAAATTGAGCTTGATACTTATTATATTTATAAAAAGCATTGCAAAATACATTAATATACAGATCAAAGACAGTAAAATCAATTTACCGTTTTTAAAGTACTAGTGAAAGGACAAGGAAGAATGGTGTTAAGTGACGTTTCCACTTAAACTCGTTCAAATATATTTTTACAGACAAATAGAGACGTACGATATAATGATAGAGCTCGAGTATGTTTGATTGAACTTGTTTTTGGAGTATCATATATTTCTTTTTTGTGCTAAATTATACAACTGCTGTTTTTATTTTATTTCGAAGAATATCTTTTTACTATCATTCATTGTTTCCCTTGTATTATTTTAATATGATATCGTTTGATAGGTTATGTCAAAGAAAATTCTTATTGTTTTATATATTTAAGATTGTATGAAGAAATTTACAGATAGAAAAAAAAACATAGAACTGTCGATGATGAGTATCAAATCCTGATTTTGTCAAACAATTTTTTTACAATCCATCCCACTATTGCCAGAAGCATTCATCGACATTGGAAAAAAATGTGTTCGTCATGCATATAATAATTAGGATTTTATCGTCTGTAAAAAAAAAAAAAAAAAAGAAAGAAAGTGCCATCTAACACAAGTAGGCTAGTATTAAAGTACAGAACAATTAGTAACTAAGATGTCGATGACACTATTTTCATTGATG